ATTAGGGGTGTCGAATTCAATCAGAGAAGGGGCCAAAATCTAAAATCCAGCCTAAATCACGGGCCGAATGGTTTACTGAACAGTCATAAACTGTCGTTGTGATGGAAACGCAGTGGAGTGCAGTGATGACAGTGCGGTGCGAGCCACATTGCAAGGCCTGGCGGGTCGGATTTGGCCCGCGGGCCTTGTGTTTGACACATGTGCATTAGATTATCAAATGATTTCTCAACAGAAACACATCAGGACAGAAAGGAATGGAAAAAAATTTACAAATTGATGCAAATCAAGGGACTGAATCCAAGAATACTCTATCCAGCAAGGCTATCATTCAAAATTGAAGGGGAAATGAGCTTCACAAATCTAAAAAGGCTAAGGGAGTTTGTCACTACCAGGCTAGCAATGCAAGAAAAGCTAAAGGGACTGGTGTAAAAAGAAATAAAAAGGTAAGAAGGAACACAGGCACAAAAAATGAAAATGGCTACAAACAAGCACCTATCAATAATAACTTTAAACATAAAAGAACTAAATGCTCTAATCAAAAGTCACTGAATGGCTGAATGAATAAAAAAAATATAACCCATATATATTTTGTCTACAAGAGACCCACCTCAGAACAAGGGACTCACACAGACTGAAAGTGAAGGGATGGAAAAATATCTTTCAGGCAAATGGAAATGAAAAAAAAAGCTGGGGTAGCAATACTTATATCTGACAAAATAGACCTCAAAATAAAAGCCATAACAAGAGATAAGAAAGGCCACTTCATAATACTAAAGGGATTGATACAAAAAGAGGATATAATCCTGGTAAATATATATGCACCCAAATATGTAGAAAACTCCTGGAAGATATCAAGAGAGAAATTGATAACAATACAATCATAGTAGAGGACATTAATACACCACTGACATCACTGGATAAATTCTCCAGACAGCAATGACTGGTTAGGGAAAGCAAAGAAGCATCAATCCTAAATTACTCACTTGATCACATGGACTTACTTGACATCTTCAGAACATTTCACCCCAAAGCCATGGAATATAGATTCTTCTCAAGTGCACATAAAACATTTTCAAAGATAGACCACATATTGGGTCACAGGCAAAGTCTCCCCAAATTCAAGAAGATTGAAATTATATCAAGCATTTTCTCAGACCAAAATGGCATAATATTACAAATGAACTATAATAAAAACAATTAAAAATTCAAACAGTTAGAGGCTAAATAGCATGCTATTAAACAATGATTTGATTACCAAAGAGATCTAAGGGGAAAAAATTCTGGAAACAAATGACAATGAAACCACAACAATCAAAAATCTGTGGGACACAGTGAAAGTAGTCCTGAGAAGGAAGAGGACATTCAGAAAGCCAAGAGACATATGAAAACATACTCAAAGTCACTAATCATCCAAGAGATGCAACTCAAAAGAACAATGAGGTACCACCTCATACCTGTCAGAATAATTATCATCAACAAATGACAAGTCCTGGAGAAGATGCAGAGAAAAAGGAACCCTCGTGAACTCCTGATGGGAATGCAGACTGGTGCAGCCACTGTGCAAAACAGTATGGAGTTTCCTCAAAAAATTAAAAATGTAACTCTCATTTGATTCAGTAATCTCATTTCTAGGAATATATCCCAAGAAACTAGAAACAACCATCAGAAAGGATATATATACCCCCATGTTCATAGCAGCACAATTTACCATAGCTAAGATTTGGAAACAGCCTAAGTGTGCATCAGCAGATGAGTGGATTAAAAAACGGTGGTACATCTGCACAATGGAATACTATGCTGTAGTAAAAATGAAAGAATTCTTACCTTTTGCAACAGCATGGATGGCACTGGAGAGCACTATGTTAAGTGAAATAAGTCACTCAGAGAAAGATAAATATCACTTATTTGTGGAATATAACGAACAACATAAACTAACAAATAAAAACAGATTCAGAGACAGAGAAGCATTGATCAGACCATCAAACCTCAGAAAGAAAGTAGGGGAGGGTGAGGGTAAGGGGGAGACATCAACCAAAGGACTTGTATGCATATATATAAGCCTAACCAATGGACACAGACACCAGGGGGTGAGGGCATGAGTGCGAGGCGGGGGTGGCGGGGGGGGGGGGGGGGGGGAGACAATAGGGGGATAAGGACACATATGTGATACCTTAATCAATAAAGAAAAATAAAGACCTTAAAAAAGAGTTCTTTGTACTGTTCTTTTAATGTTTCTGAAGATTTAAAACTTTTCAAAATAAACAACTGAAGAAAGTTTTCCTATTAGATGACTCTATCATATGGAAGAAATAAATATGGGAGGGCACTAAGCTGCTTGAGGATGTTCCAAAAGACCCCACTGGGACAGAAGAACTAGGGAACTAGAAATAATTCCTCAATTTGTTTCTGTAAGAAAATTGTGCAGAAGAAGGAATGCAGAGTTTCTTGGTTGGTGTGGGGGAAAACAGTATCTCAGAAAGGCAGCAGATTTAACTTATTAACCTGTTTACTGAGCGGGACCTATAAATAAGTCAAACATAAACAATATCGGGAACGGGTAGGGCGTATGAATACGTCCTGGAAATATATGTTGCGCCCTGAGAGGGATGGTATATATTTTTTGTATTCTTTATAATTGTTTGTAAAATTTATAATTTTTTAATTCGATGTTTCCATTTTTTTTTGGCATTTTTTCTATTATTTTGATGAAATTTATTGTACAAATTTTAAACTACATTGTTGAAATCAGCCTCTTATTTGGAATTTTTGCATCAATAATTAACTACAAATGTTAAAGTTATTAAACAAGGACACCATTAGATTCAGGTGGCTATACTGCCTTCAATCCCTATATAAACAAACAAAAAACTAATCCAGAGTGAATGACTCAATTTGGAGAAAATAAAATTTAAAAACCACCAATCACAAACACCCAAGAGGTGTGAAGGGGTGTTGCCTTCCCCTGATCGCTGGGTCACCTCTCCAGCCCCTGAAGGCTTTTGGACTGTGAGAGGGGGAAGGCCTGGCTGAGGGACCCCCACCCCCACCCCCACCCCACTCCTGCCTTCAGTGCATGAATTTTCACGCATGAGTCCTCTAGTGCTCAGATAAACTCTTGAAAATTGAAACATGCTTCAGTTTATCTTTTAATGCAAGATGGATAATACTTTTCTTTTGGCCTCTCTTTATCAGATTTTATATTAGACAAAGTTAATTATTAGAGGACATTTTATCATTTCCTAGGATCTAAATAAATTGCATAATCATTATGAGTTCAAAAATTAGCTAAAACTCAGCTGTATTCATCTGTATACTTTTCAATAGTACATATTTTAAGACATTTAAATGTTATTGTTATTGTTCCATTCAGGTTTTCTACTTCTTACTAAAATTAATAACTTAAGCCGAAACCAGTTTGGCTCAATGGATAGAGTGTCGGCTTGGGGACTGAGAGATCCCAGGTTCGATTCTGCTCAAGGGCATGTACCTTGGTTGCGGGCATATCCCTGGTAGGGGGTGTGCAAGAGGCAGCTGATCGATGACTCTCTCTCATCCATGTTTCTAGCTCTCTATCTCTCTCCCTTCCTCTCTGTACAAAATCAATAAAAATATATTTTAAAAAAATAAAAAAAATAAAATTAATAACTTAAATTTTACTAGAAAATCTTACATTTATCTCTATAGAGTTGCATATAATACCTAACAGCCTCAAATTTCTGTAAAATGCTATGTGGTTTAACATTTCTAATGTTTTTGCTTTGACTTAATTCTTTGTTTTGCTATTGCTTATCAATATTTCGTTTAATTGCTCTCTTAGAACCAAATTGTGAATTTTAAAAATCTGGTCCACATTTTTTGTTTTCTAGTACACAGTTTCAGGTGTATACTTACTCATTTTATATCTAACTAAATTTAATAAGCAACGTTTCAAAAAAAGGTCATGATAATGCCCCAAATATGAGCATACTTGTAAAAAGAATAAATAAACTATTATTAACAAAGGTGGTGTAATTTTCCAGAAAGCTTATCAAGGGCCTTTCTATCTGTATTTATGTATTTATAAAAACATAAAAATAGTAGTTTTGTATTGGTACGCCATTATTTCCACTCTGGAACCATGGTTGCCCTCCTAGTCCTTTCTCAGAGTTCAGCACCCAGAGCTTAAGACTGCCTGCCTTCAGTCTGGGCACATCCTCAAATTCCAAGACCCGTACTACATTTCCCGGATGCCTCCAGAGTGGACCCAGCCACTATCTCGCATTTTTGTAGCCCCACAACTCAATTTGTGCTGAAAAGCCTGGGCTGCAGTGTTATGGCATTCCTAACTGAGGACTACACTTCCCAGCGGCACCCAGGTCCAGGGAAAAAATTCTCAGCTGGAAGTTGAACACCCAGCCGATCAGGATTTGGGTCTCCGAGGGCTGAATCTCCCAGATCCCCAAGGCTCCTAGTCGTCCTCTGCTGGCCCCGCGCACTGAGTCCTGCTCCTTGTGGAGAGAACTCTGGACAGTCGGCTTCCCGGCTTTTAAATAGTTTTTAGAGATCTCTGGGCATCTCCCAGTTTGGGGCGAAGACTGTTGAAGACGGGTTACGGTAACTTCTGGGCCTCGGGACATCCTGGTAGAGGACCGCCCCGCCCTTTCCCAAGCTTTGGGCTACATATCTGAGAAGCCTTCAGGGTCCACAACCTGTTCTTAATCCTCTGCAGCGGTCTTGCACTACCCAGACCAGCCGGGTCGCCCAGATCCTCGCAGGATGCTCAGGTGTACTGGGTGATCAGCACTGAGCTTCACTAAGGCTTGGGCTGAAGCCTCAGAGCCGGCTGGGCCCTCGTTGGATTTCCTTCTGGTGGACTACATTTCCCTACGGCTCCGCGGCATATCCATTTACAGCGAGAATTGGCTGGCCCGTGGTGAATTTGAGGAAGCGCGCCACAAACTAGTTCACTGGTAGTGGCGGATTCGATCAGACCGGAGTACAAGGCACCCGGGTAAGTGGACATGAAGGACTCCCGGGCGGGGCTGGGTGTCTGGGGCGTGTCCAGGCTGCATGCCTTTGCTGGAAAAAGGACGTCTGTGGCCGCGTGTCCTCTCTCCGGGTGGGGAGTAGCGGCCTCGCGCGTGCACGGGCTGGACGTGGTTTCAGCTGGCGGTGTCAGGAGGTCAGGTGTTGCCTTGGCCGCAAGTACGTGCGACTCTTTCCCTACCCGTGTCGCAAACCGACTCCCCACGCTGGGCTAGCAGTGCTTGTGGCCCCGTTGTGAGAATCCTATGTGGCCATGACTGTGTCTCTGCCTTTGGGGCCAGAACTGGGAAAGTCGCCCTCTTTGTCCATTCTTGGTCAACGCTGGGAGTGTCCGCATTTTGGATGGGTTCTGGGCATCTATCCCAGACCCCGCCTGCATTTCCAGACTTTGTATCTCCAATTACACTCTCCAGCCCAGCCGCTGCAGACAAACCGCCGCCATTTGCTCTCCAGCCCTGTGAATAGCTTTCGCCCGGGGTCTGTTTCTGCGATCCAGCTGGTTTGTAGAGCTTGGGCTTGGGAGCTCCTCCTACTTGTACTTTTTGTTCTTTCACCCTGGTCGCCAGGGATCTGGCCCCATAGAGGTGCCCCCAGACTAGGGGTGTCGGACTCTGGCACATGAATCCACTTAGGCTGTTTCTTGGAGCTACAGCTCTGGGCTCAGTATAATCTACGAGGCTTGGAAGAACCCCAACTCAGGCTTTATGGAGGAAGGCAGCCACAGTCTAGGACACTCTCCCAGGACTCCCATCTGGACCCCCAAAGCCACTGTGCTTCTGTGATATGATGGAAAGGATGGTGGGAGTTGCAGGCTTCTTTGGCTTTGGACCTCTTAGTGCCTGGGTGGAGCAGAGATTTGTTTTAACTGTGCCTCTTCCAGGAATTGGGAGAGACTATTGTCTTCTAGTTTCCTAATCTCTTTCCACCTTTTTTCTTCTCTTAGAAACCAGAACAGGAGGAAAGAAGATCCACTGTGCATCAAAAGTCATGGCAGAGGTAAGTTGTATGTGGCACTTTCTTCTGGGAAAGGGTTTATTGGTTTTCAGAACACTATCCTATTTCAGGTTTCTATCTAAGAGATTTATTCTAGTGATTTGGAGAAAAGGGAAGAGAGAAGGAAACCACACTTATGGAGAATTTTCCTGAACCAAACAGAAGCCTAAACCAGAGCTCTGATGTAGAATTTTCACTTCCCTGGATTTTGTTCATTCCCGTAGTCCAGGTGTAGGGCACCTTTTTTTCTGTCAAGAGCCATTTGGGTATTTATAGCATCTTTTACAGGCCATACAGAATTATTAGCTTAGAAATCATCCTACTATATTTGGTCAAACATTTAATTAATTCACCCCAGTACCTTGGCAGGGCCAGACAAAATGATTTCATGGGCCTTATATGGCCAGGGGCCCAACATTCCCCATCCCTCCAACAGTCCAAATGTACCTCAGTGATTTGTCAAGGAAATTTTTATTTATTTATTTTTAATCCTCACCCAGGATATTTTTTCCATTGATTTGTAAGTAGAGTGAAAGGAAGGGAGGATGGGGAGATAGACAGACAGACATCAACCCACTGTCTTTGCTTGAGCACTGACGAGGGTGGGGGATTAAACCAGCAACTAAGGTACATGCCCTTGACCAGGAATGGGACTTGCAACACTTTTACCTGATGCTCTAACCACTGAGAAAAACTGTCCAGGGCTGCTTCCAAATTTGTATAGCCTAAGATGCCTGTCTGCACTTTTCATTCTAGACATTTTTTTCCCCAACAAAGAAATAACCTAATTGTTCTCTTTCTAATGACTGAGATAATATAGGATTCTTGCAAATATTTGAAAACTTAAAAAGCTTATTAAAACAGTTTGTCATCATCTAGCAATAATCACTGTTAGTATATTCAAATTCTTTTTTTAAATACATTTTTATTGGTTTCAAAGAGAAAGCGAGAGTGAGAAACACCAATGATAAGAGAGAATCATTGATCAGCTGCCTCCTGCATGCCCCACACTGTAATTGAGCCTGCAACTTAGGCTTGTGCCCTGACTGGGTATCGAACCGTGATCTCCTGGTTCATAGGTTGACACTAAACAACCGAGTCACATCAGCTGGGTTCAAATTATTCTTATTATTTTTAGTCCTCACCAGAGAATATTTTTTCCTTTTTTTGTTTTTTTTTTGTTTTTATGGGTTTTTGTTTTTTTAAGAGAGAGAGTGGAAGGGAGGCAGTAGAAGGAAAACAAGAGACATCAATTGATTACTATCCGCCAGAGCCCTGACCTAGAATGGAACCCTCAACCCTTCAATGTGCCCACCTACGCTCTAACAACTGAGCCACATTGGCCAGGGCTATTTTCAAATTATTTTGAAAATATGTTTAGGTATGTAAATTTGTTTTCAGAATGGGATCATGTTACTGATAGAAGCAACTAACTTATTGTGTTTGTGTTAAACCACTTTAAGGTTGAAATTCTTCACATGTGTTATCTTATTGAATCCACATAACAACCCATAAAATAGGTCTGACTATATTTCATTAATTCTATGATGCACTTTACTTTCATATCGTGATAGGTTTTATAATTTCTAGCAAGTCATAGTTTCATTGATGGCATTTTTTCCCCCTGATATATAAATCAATATCATCTCAGAATTGATGAAATATGAAATATGCTAATATTTTAAGTTGAAAAATGACAAAATAGATTGTTAAGTCGCTTGTTCCAAAATTACATATTAAATTATATAACTAGGATTTCTAAATTGTCTACTGATTTTCTTTCCCCACTTGTCAAAGAGTATTATCTTTCTTGGTTTATTTTAAATAAGTTTATATGTCAAGCATATTTCTCTTTATCATTTATAAGTTGTTTTAGAAATGTTTTTCATAGTCAATCTATTTTTGTTTGTGTTTTAAATTCAAAGTTTTTAAAAAATATTTTCTTCCCTTTATGTTATGCCAAAAGTTTTCCCTACTATAAAAATAGAAAAGTTATTCATATTTTCCTAAAGTACTTTTTTCTTTTGTTCATATATTTTAATCTTTAAGGTATCTGGTGTGAGATGTGATAAAAAAAAAAAATGTGGGTTGTCACATTCCTGATTTAGGGTGTTTAGGCTTTTATCTATGATTAAACTATTTTTAAAGAATGGCACACTATTTGTAGTATGTTCAAGTGTGTTGTGTGTTTTTTCTTAGCTGTATCTGAATATGCCTCTACATTAATGTTGGCCAGTTCTGAAGAATTCCTTTTTCTAAAGACTAAGAAATAGTACCGGATCCAGCCGGCATCACAGGTCCTGGAGGTAGGGCTAGGAGGTTTTAAGAGAAATAAAGACAAGAGAAAGCGGGGCTTCAGGAGGACTGCTAGTCCATGATGAGACTGCAGCAACTTTATTAGTTGCAAGCGTACATTTATGAGGCTTTTCTGGGCATTTCTCCAAGTGCCCCTTTCCCAGGACAAGGCCTCCCGTCAGCCCCTCAAGACATTCTTGGAAAAGATACAAAGAGCAAGCGTCTGGTTAGATATCATTGAGAACAGCCTAGCTGAGAACATCCAGATAAGTCGTGCATCACGCGCACTCTCTAACAATGGGGCTATGGTCTGCCCTGTCCTTGGTTGCCCCTGAAGGCTTAGGGGAGAGCAGGTAGGCGTCCCTACCCTGTGCTCAATCCCCTGTAGGAGAGCAGGTAGGCGTCCCTACCCTATGCTCCATCCTTGCCCTCGGGCCCCACGGAACACGGCTTCCCCACAGCTCCCCCTTTTTAATTTATTACAACTCAAGCGGGATGCTGTCCTTCTCTCGATGCAGCTGAAGCAGGTGGATGTCCATGGCTAACTTGTACATTTGCTTACAGATTAATCTTATACAGAAAGGCAACAACATGCATAAAAGTATCAGGAAACTTGCTACTGCAATTAGGCCTATTACTCCATGAAGGAAAGCACTTAAAGTTAGGAAGTTGTCCCGTAGCCGGGATACAAACTCCGAGGCTTCTCTAGCTATATCTATTATATATCAAGCTTTGGTGCGTTCAGCAAATTTTGAATTTCTCTATGCAACATTCTCAAATCAAGGGAGGTGTTTGCATCATGCCATATACCCTGAAGATGCCTTTTGACATTTTCCCATGGAAACTTAGAATCATTATATTCTTTTGGTGTTATGCAAATCCATGAGAATGCGGCGTGGCATCTTAGAGAACTTTTCACCTCCAAGTTTACAATTTCATCGCCTAGGATTTGTACTACATCATAGAGAGCTAGAGAGCGTTCACCCTTTGCTCTATTTTCTTGTCCCAGTTCTCTTGGGTTTGTAGTGCTTGCGTTACATTGTAAGCCAGGTTGTTTACATAGTCTGCTGTCTGAATGGAAGTTGTTAACGATATGGCAGATGCAGTGGCAGAAGCAATTAAAGTGATTAACGCCGTGATACCTGCTATTAACAATCCTACAAATCTTTTCGTTCGGCTTAAGGCTTTTTCTACTATCTGAAGTACAGCAAGCCCCGTGTCAGAGTACCACTCTTGGGTATTGTTAACTGGCAGGAGAACAAATACAGGTTGATGTAAGATTAACAAGGAAGGGGTAGTGCCATTAATGCAATTAGTTAGACTATAATTATTACAAGCGATGCTGGTTATTCCAGTTTCATTATCTAGGCTAATACTAAAATTACCCAGTAACAAAGCATAAGGTTCAGGTACACATGCAGACAAGCTCACATTCCAACTGCTCCCCGAGCCACTAATGACTCCCCTTTGTGGCTGCACCGTCACATTCTCCTTCCCGACAGTGATATAGTCCATGACAGCCACCATTTTCCACAAATTTCTTTGGTAAGTAATATTGTCCATTGTCCAAAGTCCAGTCACTAGGTTCTGGGGGCGAAAGTCATTATCAGTGTCGGCCCAGTCATACAGCTTTCCCTGGCACACTGTCACATTACTGTGGCAGGTCCGCTGCATTAGTCCCATTTCATTTCTAGATGGCCCCAGCCGCAGGCGGTCCAGTCGATCCCTCAGCTTTGCCACCTGACTTCGAGGCATGGTGCACACACCACTTGGGTAGCCACCGAGGATTCTCATCTCCTGTTGGGAAAACACAAACATAGCCTCTCCCCCACATTAGTACTGGATCCGGCCCATGCAATTCCCTAGTCAGTGGATCTCTCCAGTATACATCTGGAAAGCATTTTGGTGTGGGCTCCCAAAACCGCTGAGCCGCTGTCTGGCCGTCTTTGTCCATTTGCAAAAAGTTTAAAATAAAGATTATATGATTAAGTAAATTCCTGGGGGTGTGGGTATAATACTCCCCCTTTTTAATTTTAAAAAGCTGATTTTTAAGTTCTTGATGAGCTCGCTCCACAATGCCTTGCCCTTGATCCTGGGCAACCTGTAGGAATGCACAGGTGCCGACTGCTATCATGGCAAGGTATCTTTACTTTAAAAATAAGGCAAATTTACTTTTGAATTTATAAGCCATAAATGTTGCCTTGCCTTTAGCTTGATTACAATGTTGGCGGCTATATATAGTTAGAATTCAATTATTTATAAAACATTGGCTTCTCATGTAACTTAATTTATATGACATTGATTATATTGTAAAAGCTAATTTATAAAGTAACTTAAGTAGGTATCTTTAATTTAAAAAAAATAATGGCAAAGAAACTTATTCAGTAAAACTTATAGGTTTGATACTTTATTGGTCTGATCTAAAACATGGCTTTTGTCTTTCTTGAAATTCTACTGCTGTTGAAAAATTTGTCTATATTTAAGAAATATATTGTTTTTGCCTTTCTTACAGGCAAAAACTTTTATAATATTTAATATATACCTTTTAATTTTTATTTGATAAGGCTTTCCATGCAATTTCAAGTATATTAGATCTGTTTTAAAAAGTTTTCCTATAAGAAGAGAGAATAAATTTCTTGTATTACTCCGGGCCCTTGGAACTTTCCAAGAATTATCTCTGTTAATGCCTTGAAATTTTAACATGGAAA